CAAATTTACTTATTCACAAGTATCTTAAGGCACCCCTTTTTCAAAAAAAACTACAATTTGTATGAAGACTTTAAGAAAAATCAAACACTTTTAAAATCATTTTCTTATAGTCAATGGTTTATTCATTTAACTGATAGAGCTAAAAATATAATCAACTAAGAATTTTATGAAACAATGGCAATATTCTCCGAAGCGGCTGAAGTAGGTAAGGAAAAGAAAATGCGTATTATTAATAGAAATGTACTGTTCTAGTAGTTGAATAATGTTTTTGCGAAGGAAATGTTTTGTACTACACATTGGGAAATATATACTTCATTTATTTAAAATATAACAGAACACCACCCACTAGAGAATATATATGAACTGCAATACTTGCTAAGCAACCAGAATTAAAGCACTTTTGGAAAAAAGGTTCTCTTATGTATTTGAAATTGTGGACATTATTTGCGTCCGTTAAAAAAGGTGGCGTTAATACCGTCCAAGTCTCATAATAGTTTGCATACCATAGATTGATCAATGAGAGTTCAGCCGTTTCTGTAATCAAGGCGTTTTAACGGACAGACGGACTGAAAAGCGCTGATATACTTAAGCGAAAATAAAATATCTGCCGCTTATTAGTAGTTGTAGTAAGTAAAGCAAAAATTAAAAATATTACTTCTTCTCAAAAAGTGCAAAAGAAATTTTAAATAATGTCCCAAAATTTCGTTCAACGATAATCGATCTTAGTCTTGTTATCTGTTCTACGATATATTTAAAAAAATTTAAATTAAGTGTATTAGTGTTTCGTTGCTTTCCCGGTGTTCCCGGACTCGCTTGCGTACATTCACATTTCAGAGGCACTGTTGCAGCACAACATCGCAGACAATAGTTGTGTGCGTTTGCACCACACATGAGCGCAGCAGAGAATACGAGTTTACTCATATTTCTAACGCAATTTCAGTGCTGCGCCATTTTCTTTCAAATGTTGGAAAATGCTTTAAAAACGTTCCACTTTCGGTTGCACTTACTAGTAGAGCGCACATTGTTCGCCCCAAAACAAAAGGGGCACGTGCCTTTAGGCACCAACAAAACAAATTGCGCTGCAAAAAGATGAAAGCATAACAGTTTACAATTAGCCTGCCGACAATGGCAACAAGCAGGGCCCGTGCAACATACACTATATCTGATGAAGAGTGGTGCACGTGGCGTATGCGTAATGCACTCAAGCAAGACTAGCGTTTCAGCTATGTGTCGGCGGTTCATGAAACCCGCTTACGAGAGATACTTGCAACTTTATGAGCACAAAGCCCCCACAAAATAATTACCAAATAATTTTGGTTGGCTTTGTAACGCAGGACGCAGCATGAGGCAAGAGACATGAAGAGAAGAGAGAGGCACGCCAAAAGTTGGCAGGGATAAACTTTAGCTGGAGAAAGGGCGTTTCAAATCGTTTATACATATTTCATGCTGCGCTATAATGTGACCAATTTTCTCGATTCAGGAAACATGAAGGGATGGACGCGGCTTATGGGAAGCTTGTGTTGTGTACGAATAAAAAAACAAGTTGCGAACACGCGAAACACAATGAAGAACAAGCAACAACGGCAACATGTTGCCGGAAGTCCTTGCTTGTAAATTCTATAATTTGCCAGCCGCACTTGTTGTTGCTGCTAATGTTCTTGCCACTGTTGTTGTTGTTGTTGTTGATGTTGTTGCGGCTGCTGCTGAAAGCTGCCTTGGCCATGCTTGCCAACAGACAATTTTATCAACTCTCTATAGGTGAGTGGGCTGAGCTAAGGTAAAGGCTGGGGCTGTGGCTGTGGCTGAAGTATGCATCCAACAGCTTCCTCACATAAGCAAAATAAATTAGAAATTTAATCGCCTGCACATTAAATCCTATTCAACGCATTCTACTATCTGAAGTTCGAACACATACAAGTAAAGGTCAGACGGACTAGATAACTCAAATGGTATGCATTTTACATCTACAAACAGTCCATTTATCCATTTGTTGGCATTAGAAACAAACTGTAGATAAACACCATCTAATGCATAAATCATGAGAGCAGAGCGTTTAATAATTATTAATGCTACATCCCAACTGAAACTTTTCCACATCATACTGCAGACATCCAATGTATTCCCAATTGATTTTAAGTTGGATTTGTTTGGCTTTTGCACGTACCAAATGAATTTGTAATTCACATGACCCTACAAATAGACACTCACAAACAAATACACGCATGGACACACATGTTTAGGTTCAAGTGGGGGGTCAAATGTTCGCCACATGCCTAACTCACAATGGTCGCAATTTGTGGCAATTTGAATTGTTAAATGTTAGCTCATTTAGCATGTTTGTATATACATATGTATGTATATATGTCTGGTTGGTTGAGCAGCGTTAAATATTTAATGGAAATCTTTTATGTGTGTGTGTGTGTGTGAGTGTGGGCGTGAGTGTTTGACTTGTAAGCCGATACGGTGTCTATAGCCATCAGCCACACGGCGCAACATGAGGCCAAATAAGCGCCAATGACTGCCACAGATACACCAAGCGTTAATTTCCCCATATTTTATTTCACTGGCCCGTATCTACGGGTCGGTGCGTTGAATCAAAGCACAGCATGCCGCCTCAATGAGACACGAACTCAAGCCCCAACCTCAATCCCGATCTTGGTACGCTCATGCGTCAGCATTAAAGCCAAAGTACGCAATATTTTAAAGACAGAGTGGCGGAGTCGCACAGTGGGGCTATTTAGCGCAAAACATACTACATATATACTCACACACTTGTATTTACAGGTGCGCGCTTGCCCTTGATGGCTGTTTTGGTCGATAAATTGAAAAAGGTTGCCAGACTGATTAATTTATAGCTGCTGTGTTCCTTATTATTCCTGTTTGGAATGCTCGCAACTTCGGCAACATCGATAAAAGATTAAGCATTATATAAAACACTTAATTACAATTAAGTAAGTATCATACTACTTATCTATGGCAGTTATAGTTCTATGTGAGTATAATTATACAATAATACAATTTAACAAATATTACTCTATAAGAGGATCCTCGTAGTCAAATCTTCTGGATGGCACCTTTTTAATCTTCTTTTCCGTGCTGCAAATGTTAGCCGTCCCGCTATCGCAGCCGGAATTCTTAGATAAAAGCAAAGCTGCACGCAAGAACCGTGCAGATGCTTGTAGGATAATTAAAGCCTAAAAAGCTTGAGAATATCTTACAATACCATAGAAACTAAAATATTTCAAAATTGTATTGATAAACAAAACCAAAACGTTCTTCACCGATTAATGCAGATAATTTTAAATTTAATAATTGAACTGCAAAACTTCAATATTATATAATTCATGGCATAAAAGTTGATTATGTTATGTATATAAATTGTTTTATTCACTAGAGTAAACTGTCCAGATAGGATACTAAAATAGTTTAATAATAATATAATTATGTACATATGTAATAACAAATATTAATAAAGAGCAAATTACAAATTTTTTGTGGGCTGGAATAGTATACATCCATAGAATCCATTGAGTAGTTTTTGATGTAAATCTGTAAAATAAAATGGAACTTTCCTCCTGCTGCTTCTCACTCTTTCTCGCTCGTAAAAAGTGCAGTTTAGTCTTTAAAGCATTCGCTTAAATGATAATGCGTGTGCTTTTCCCACTGTTCGTGGCTTGCAAGAAAACTGCGTCGTTTCGCAAATGAATAGCAACATAAGGCAGCTCCAGGCGACAATGTGCAGTGCCTGAACTTGCACTTGAACGTAATGGCGTGTGCATGTGAAAACACGCAGAAAGCCCATGCAAAGAAAGAGCAAAAGTGAAAGCGCAAAAAGCACAGGAACATGGCAGCCATAGAGGAAAACGTACATACATACTTGTACTCGTACATATCGTACATGCACATGCAGCCAGTTAAGTTTTATGGGCGTTGCCAAAGTGGCAGAATGACGAACCTGCATCCTGCCGAGCGGTGGAATGATGCGTGCCTGTTCCCATTTTAATGCACAATTTTAACATTTCCGGCTGTCGGTCGCATGTCGCCGCTCATTTTGTTGTCTCCCGCCATTGCTTGCTGTAACAAAAAAGTTTTGAAGGCCGCCGTTTGCAGTGCGACGTCTAATTGAGCAGTTGAGCGTTTCATTTTTGCGGAAACGAGCGCCAATTGGAACGAGCCGAAAAACTTTAAGCTGTCGCACAAGTCGCACAAGCCAAACCGCAGTCAACAAACGGTCTGTCACAAACAACAACAACAACAACAACAACGAGAACAAAAGAAAGGAAACGAAACGAGAAGTTGGCTGGCGATGATTGATAGGCTTTTTGGCTGCTTACGCGACTGACAGCAGCTGACAGGTGGTTTAAATTGTCGTTTGGTGCAAGGACGTACCGGAAGGCCCGCCGCCGCAGCCACATGTGTCCCACACGGCACATACGTAATCATTTATTAAAGCCAGCAGCGTAACAAAACAAAGCCAAACGATATACATGGTAAGCACATTATCAGCAACATACTCGTACAACTGCTGTTGTTCTGTTTGTTGACGAAGGTCAAGTTCAGTATTTAGCATTTAGCATACAAATTGTCGCACCGAAGTGCCATCACAAATGAGCAACGTAACAACAACGCAGGAGCTTACGTAGCACACTTTGTCACGCAACGTAACAATTCGCTCTCAGTTACTGTCTCTGTCTCTCTCACTCGCGCTCTTGGAAGCAACAGAACGCGCCGACTATAAATAAAGAGTCCCAACACGTCAGACAAACAGTTTGCTGCTGTTCGCGTTGCCGACTGGAGCTCATCGCATCGCGCTTGTTGACGTCGTTATTTCGTGCGCGTCTATTTATTGCTATTGCTGCTTTTTTCTTTCAAAGCATAAAATTAATTTTTTGTTGCCTGCTTATCGGGGCGTTTAGCTGGAAAGGTACCACGCAAAGCTTATCGCGTGCGGGACTCTGTTTTCCCTGAACGCGCGGTTGCGAAATGCCGTCGGTCTATGTGCGTGGGCAATTAAAGTAGCGCACCCTTCTGTAGCATCCTTTTTGGCGCGCACAGCTTAAAAAGTTCTGGGTAACCGCAACATATCACTCAAGAGCAGCAGCGTTCACCACAAAAGCAACATGTTTTGGATTTTACGACGCACGGGCGCCGCCAATTTCTTTACCTCGCTCAACAACAATTGCAACTTCACGAAGAGTAACGGCAGCGTTGGCAACGGCAATGGCGGTGGTGGGGGTAACCACAACAACAGCCCGCAGGGTAAGTTGCCCCTGGTCGTCATTAAATTATCAAATTTCGACCCAAAGCGTATGCAATTGATTGGTCTGTCCAATTAACCGCACATTAAACAGTTTTGACGTTGCGGGAATAGCACTTTCATTAAATGCTGACCAAAAGACTCGTCCAATGTGTGTATAATTAGGAGAAATCACCGAACCGTGCTATAAATACCCACACTTCGTCTCAACGTATGCATTTATGGAGAAAGAAAAAGCCCTACTAAGGTATTCAACCCACTTAAAATGCCAAGCGGGATGCGTCGCCGTGCCTTTCATAAGGCAGCGCACTCCTTGCCTTATCTAACAAGTTAATTAAAATTCTCCAAATGACTTGTGGTATTTATTGTTTGCGCTGGTTATAGTCAGCGCTCCATTGCGATGAGCCTCCACACACACAGATTCACATTATATATATTTATATAAATATATCCTCACCCAGAACCGTTAGCAGATGGCAGAGCTACTTGAAGAAAAGCAAATAACATTGAGCCGAGAAAATGTATGTAATAATGAGCTCAGAGCCAACTTTTTTTGTGCAATGTGTGTGTATGTGTATCTTCCTGTCGACAACGTGCGATGGATGCGTCTGTCAAAAACACTTGAGGCGTTATTCTGAGACGCTTTGTTGTGCTAAGCGCTTAGTATGCCATCAGATGCCTTAGCTGAAGCAGCCGGCATAGTTGCTTGCCAGCATAAAAAATGAAAACTTCTTCTATTTTCGTAATTATATATTACGTTGTGTCATCACATGACGAGTATTTATCAAGAATGTTGACAAAGTTTCTTTAAACCATATTAGCTTTACTTAAGACAATCAGTCAATCATTCTTCACTTTCACTTCAGCTTCATTTTTCAATTTCTTAAACCAACAAACTATAAATCAATATGATAACTTCGAAATTAAATTTAACATACTTACTCCGATGTAAAGTATATTTGAATCAATTGAATTGAAATCGAAAATATACCCTCATAAGACTTACGACATCCAGACTTTTTTAACAATGTATTATGGAATACTAGAAAGTCTAAATAACCGCCAACCTATGAAAGAATCAGAAAGAGACATGGCAGGCTCCATGACATAGACGCATAAATGATTAACATGGGTCGATGGAACGATATACACTTGTCCCTCTGTCCATTCGAGAACATGTTCCCATAACACTTAGGGGCATCATAATTGGTGTGTAGACTTGTTTAGTCCCAATGCACAACAAGTTTATTTTAAAACATAGCTGACAAGGGTTCGATCAGTGTAAAAATCACTCTGAGCTGGATAATTCTTTTGCTTTATGAACATATCTCCCCCATTATGAATTGGTTTACTTTTCTACAGAGTTTCATGATTGATGCAGGAATTACTTCTAATACTATCAAATTTCCTGATTATTGTCTTTTTTTAGCGCTGATATGGCTTTTACGTTTACTTGTTCCTTTTTAACTAATGTTTCATATTTCCCAAATTATTATTTTTAATTATTTTGACGCTTTAATTTCAACTACAAAATAAATAATTAAATAAAATTAAATTGTTCGTCCAGTTTATAGACAATATCAATACAACTGCATTAACAAATTGTTGCTTGAATAATAGCTGATTAATATTGGTAGCAATAAAAGAATCAGCATACAAGTGTAATGAATTATATCAATTTCATCCCAACATATTGTTCAATTAAAAGCATGCTAATGAGATATACTTGTAGTATATCGCGTAAGGGCATGAAAAAAAACATTCATGCAAATGACGTTAAAAATGGAATTTAAATATTTTATAATTTTAAAACAAATTGCAAAATTAATCACTTATAATAATCCAGGAAAACAGAAATGAAAAAATGCAATAAGCTTAATTACATTTATTACGGGGGCCGACAAACAACGCACTGCAGGTTCATATTTACACGATTAAGCTTGTATCAACACGTCCATAAGTATATTGTTGTCACACACTCGCACATATACACCCACACATATATGCTCTGGCCAATTTGCAAAATGCCGCGCACATATGGCTTGAAATTAACCGATAATTATGACAGCCATTTGTCATTGATAATAATACATTGCGTATTCAATTTGCAAAGTTCTTGTATTTGTCATACAAGCTGCAACAATTATGCGGACATTCTGTACGCGTGGGTGCGCATTTGAACGTATGTTAAAGTACCCTGTTGTTCAGTCGAACAGGTCTACAGGCGAATACTTTAAAATTGGGATGTAATTGTTTCCACTTCAATTTCCTATATAAGATATGGCTTCAGGTTCCCTTATGCTGCTGAAAGCATTACAAATGTTGGCTATGAGTTATATTTTTATTATATAAGATCCTTTGCTTGGCTACAATGTCAACGTTTTTCCAATACATATTTCTGCAACGTAATATAAATTCGCTTCAAAGTCAGACAAAGCTAAGTACTAATTATATTTTTACACCGTAGATTGGTAGATTGGTTCCAGAAAAAATCGTGTAAAAAACAAAATCGGGTTAAAAAAGACATTGATCATATGTTATTTTGCATCGTACTAAATGAAATAAAGTCGGTGGCAAGACTAAATTATATAACAATTCTTAATTTTTAAACCGTGCTAAAGAAAAACCGTGTAAAAACAAAATTAAGTGTACTATAATCTTCAATAAAATAAAACGTTTCTGTACTAAGTTAATAAATACAACTGTAAAATAAAAGATATACACGAACAGAGTTTCCACAGCAAGACATTTTACTAACCAACGTCCCTTGTACTAACTAATTTAGTGCAACGAAGAGGTTGGCCTGCTAAACGGTACTACCAGCTACCACATCGAGCACAGCAGGGTATACTCATACGCCAAAACAAATTAGCCGCATACATTGGAGCGCACAAAAACGAAACAATTTGCCGCTTTTTCCTCATGTTCTCATTGGCATCAAATTTTCTGCACTCTGGTTTCAGGCATCATTAATTTTACGCATTTTCTATGTTTTGAGAGTGTGTGTATGTGTGTTTGGACGTGTATGGGCGTGTGTTTGTGATTGCTCGTATCAGCCGTGGGCCGCGCAACACAAACAACACAAACAAAAAATAAAATAAAATGTAACAAAAATTATTGACGCGCAAAATTCTATGGAATTTTTGAAAATATTCTTGCAGAATTATTAAACATTTATCTTCCGCTTTAATAACGCCACCATGTTGAGCCATTCCCTGTCCGAAGATGCGAGTATCGTCTAATACGGCTCTAGATCTTAGTCTGGTCTCCTCCCACTCAGCGTCGTTCAGCATGTGATTTATGTTAGTTTCTCAACAAGACGCCACAGCCTAGGGCGCATCATTTGTAATAATTTGCTGTAATTCTAAAATACAGAGTAGTAAACTTTATCTTTTCGTGCGATTATGAGTTCGGGGCAACAAGTTTTGCCCCCACAGCCCAAAGTTAGCTTTAAGTCGTGCGCGAGCTTCTCTTCTTCTTCTTCGGCTTTTTGTGTTTGTGTCATAAATTTCAATCTGTGGAGTGGCGCACAAACAAGAAAATGGCACAACACAAACGGCCCAATACACGCACACGCACACACACACACACACACATCTATCCATACACACACACACAGCAATAACAGCAGAGCAAACGTTGCGTTAAATGCTTTGGCGCTAAAGTGTTGTTGCATACTTTCCGGCGACTGGCGAATATTTTAGCGATAAAATTGAGTTTTAGTTTGTTTCACGCGCTAGCGCTCAGGCTCTCAGCCATTTTGTGCTTCGAGCGCTTAGATATGCTTTTGTGAGTGTGCTGTGTGCTATGCTTTTAATATTCATGTGCGCTTTTATTTACTTCGTTTTGTTTGCAACTGTCACAACAGCAGCAACAGCAAAAACAAAAATAATAACAAATGCAAACAATGTGCAATATGCAAAAAGCGACATTTTATTTATATTTGATTAACTTTCTCGCTTTTGATGTGTGCTGTATTTGCGTTGCATGCAACAACAAACACCTTCGTTATGACTATTTGATGTAAATTTACGCAATCTGCAGCTGTTTACTTAATACATTTCAAACCAATTGCTATAATAATAAAATAACTAAAATAATAAAAGCATATGCGTGATTCTGAAGAATCCTCTTAGAAATCAATTCATTTTAATACGCAGTACTGAAGAAAACGTAGCAAGAGCAAAAGAAAGAGGATTAAGGAAAAGTGTTGTTGCAGCTTGGTAGGGCATATTACTGGTGTATAACTCTTTCTTTTCGGACTTTTCTTAGAATAGGTCCGATTCGGATGAATTTTGAAATTATATAGCTAGCGAAAAGGAAAGAAAATAAAAATAACTTGTGAGCTCTTTAACGTAGAGGAGTCTCCATGTAACGTTTGCTCATTGTGGTTCAAAGCCTTTTCACAAGCTATAAGCTATAATTTAGAAATGCGTCAAATGCGTGAGAACTTTATTGAATTGTGTCAGTACACCATAATAATAGGTATCACATGACAGAAACCACAATTGTTTTCCTGCTAAGCAATTAAAAGATATAAGTTAAACAATTCAAATGAACAACATTCTCTCAATTGACAACAATATCTGTATGCTGTGTGTAAAATGAATAATTATTTTTTTATTCTCTGTATTTGTTCTCATGAAAACATAAACAGTGCCTGACAATTGAGGTAGCATCTGGCATTCTTTTTCAGTGTAGTTGGGTCCGCATAAATATGTACGCAATAAATGCCACATAATATATAAAATATGTTGCCCACTTGTAGCCTAAAATTTCAACAATTAAGCAGGCAGTGAGCATAAAACGAACTGCTAATGAGCAGTCAAACGCATTTGTCAGATAAATCGCTGCGTATAGCCGCAGTGCCATAAATATTGCTGCCGTAAATAAAGGCAGTTTCGCAAATATAAAAATTTCAAGCAACTATTTATGGGGCGCAGCACACACACAAAAACACACGCAAACAATGCTGGCTAAACTCGTAAATCTGCTTTTATCACTTCATGCCAAAATGGCAACAGTGGCAGAAACTTTTGTCTTTCCAAACTGCTCATGAAGAGGACAAAACCTGTGCGAAGACAGAAGAAGCGAACAGGCAACCATAAATTGTCTGCTCCGGTTGCCGTTGCAGTTACTGTTACCGTAACCGTTTTTCCTGCTCCGTGCACGGGAAATTTTAATTTGGAATGGGCAAATGGATAAGGCAAGAAGTTTTTGCATTCGTTCTCTGTTTGTTTGTCAAGCACAAACATATTGAAATCCTAGCGAAGGGCGCGAGTGTGCAGCACTACAACTTTTAATGGCGTCCTACAAAGCAGTGAAAACTTCGATGCGCCGGATAAAACTTTCGGCCTACCCCTATGCAACAAAATAACTTGGTATTGCCTACCCACAGCATTTCGAACTGCCGTCGATTTGGAAACTTAAGAAACTATTTGGAAACTGAGTCTACATTTTGATATTGATTGAAGGACAAGCAATTTTGATCTCTATTTTTTGGTATAACTATAACTCTGTATTTAGATGAGCTCTTTCAAAAAAGTGAACTTTTTCTGGTACAACTATCAGAATACATACTCTGTATTTTAACAAGCTCTTTTAAAAAGAAAGCTGGAATTGATTTCTCGAATGTGCAGCCTTTCATGTTTTTACAAGTCAAATTAGTTTAAAGAGTTCATTCAATTTGGTTTACCTTATTTATTTTAGAGCCTGAAGAAGGTGTATAATATTTAATGTGAAACCATCTGCAACCCCATAATTTATTTAAAAATGTATTTTTATAGCCTGTACCCAAAGGGTGAAAGGCTATACTAGTTTTGTGCGCATGTATGTAACACACAGAAGGAGGCGTGGCAGACCCCACAAAGTATATATATTCTTGATCAGGATGAGAAGACGAGTCGATATAGCCATGTCCGTCTGTCCGTCTGACCGTCTGTCCGTCTGTCTGTATGAGCGCAAGGATCTCAGTAAGTACAAGAGCTAGGATAACCAAAATTGGTATCAAGGTTCCTATAAGCCCTAGGCAGAACGAGTTTGTTTATTTTTTCTGATACACCCCCCCACTCCCCCGCAATTCGTATTTTTTCTTATAACTTCCGTAATTCTCGGAATTTAAAAATCAATTTTGGTAGGTACATCCAGTTAGTACTAATGTGTCCGTGTGCCAAATTTCATCATGATAGGTCAATTCTGAAGAAAGTTATAGCCATAAGTAAAATCGCTGCTCATGCGCTGCCTGCAGCTCTGTCGGCAGCGCTGCCCGCAGCTGTTGTTGTTGTTGCTGCTTTGGTTTAACTTTGTGCTGCATACATACACGCATATAAACACGCATAGGTACGTGATGTAAATGTATGCTGTTTAAACTGAACATAAACATGTATTCTAATTTAATTTAATTAATTATTTTAATTAATTCATTCATTCATTTTTTTTAATAATTTAATTTTTTTTAAATTTTTTTTTTTTTTAATTTTTCCTTTTTGTGGAGAGTACAGGCTATTTTACTGTCGGGCTTGCTCGACTGTAGCGTTCTATCTTGTTTCTCATTCTGACTATGAGGCAACCAGCGATCTAGACAACCCTTTTGCCATTTGTTTGGCCTTTCTTCTCTTCATCTGCTTGAATGAATGAGCAAACTTGGAATGTAATTTATACGCCAAATGGGTTTATTTTCTATTTTTAATTTATTTAATTTAAGCGATTGGACGACTATTAATTTAGGATTGATTCTTGCCAGCATCTTAAAAAAGCATGATAGCCACTAATTTGGCTCGCCTTAGCACGCAATTAAATCGCTGATGCGCTTAAATTTGTGCGCTTATTCAATTCCTCCTTCTCTAATATTCCTTATGCAGACAAATACGTTAAGCGACCTCCGCGCAAGGCATATGGACGGCTGAGCGCCGAGGCCGACGATGCCATTTCACTGGGCCATAAAATCGATGATCCATTCGATGAGCTCGACAATTTTGAAATGCTCGCACCTGGCGCTGGCAGCAGCGGCAGCAATGGTAACAACAACACGAACGGCAATAGCCAAGCAAACGGCAATGGCGAGGCCAACAGAAAAGAGTCGAACGAAGCGCTGGCGGCGCTTAATGGCAACCTGGCAACTCTGCTTCCCTGCACCGATGCCGATTGCCAGGGCAACTTTGTGGTTGAGAGCGCATTGTGTGAGCTGGGCCTCTGTGGGGTCAATGTGGGCAGCGGGCGTGACTGCAAAGCCAAAACATCAAAGGACCTGTCGACTGGCCTTTCAGCAGCTGCGCCTTCGTCCTCCTCAACAAAGGAAATTAACGAGAACACAATAAACCGACTACACGCTCTGGCTATGGCTGACGATGATGATGACTACGGTGAGTTGGCAGTATAATGTTGGCATCCCAATCCCAATTGTTATTATGGCTGTTCTTGCTTTTCTTACCATCTCTCAGACGAATCTCTCACTTGCAATGTGTGCGACCGTGCGTTTCACTGTCATCGCCAGTTGGCCTCGCATCAGCAAAAGAAGCGCCACTTTGGGTAAGTTGGAGGGAACCCAGAACACTTATTCAGCCGCAGAGGTCTAATGATGATTTATAGCGATTAATATTTGTGTTTGTATTATTGGGTAGTTTGAAAACGGGCGGATGGATATGGCAAGGCATTGATTTGAGATCGAAGAAGCTTAGCTATCAGGGCAGTAGATATATGCTTGCTATAAAAGTAGTACTTACAGCAATAGGTCCTACAGCTAATAGCATATAGCACTTGAGTAAATACATCTTATTACACACTTATCAAAAAAAAAAAATTTATTTATTGTAAAAATAATAACTATATTGCGAGTTGTAATTCTGAAGACAAATAGTAGCACAACCATAATTAGAGTCATAGGCTTCAGTAGCTAGTACTCTTGCCCTTTAAGTATATTATTGTATAATCTGTATATTTAACTTAAAATAAAAATAAAATAAAAACATTTATTGTAGAAATAAAGAATAACTATATTGCGAGTAGTATTTCCAAAGATAAATAGTACCACAAACATAATTACTCAGCTCTAGTCAGGAATTCTTCGTCCAACTGTTATGTCCACAATTACAGATGGAAGCAAATGTGATTTATTTTAGAATGAAGAAAGCATTAAATGGTGTAATTAGAGACACGATGCTCCCCTTAATTACTCATTATTTCTCGCCATTACTTGCCACCCACCAACACAGATGCAGCGGCTGCGATAGTCTCTTCCCCTCGTTGATGTTGCTGGAGCACCACAAGGAGGAGTTCGAGCACTGGAGTGATGAGGAAATTGGACGTCGCATTTGTTGCCGTCGGAATCGATGTGACGACGACTACTTCACAGACACAGACTCATTCATCAGCGACGCGGAGAGTGAGGATCTGGAGCGTTTGTTGTAAACGCGGCAGCTGTGATGGTGAGTGTCGACATGGGTTACGCATTTCAATTTTCATTTCAACGATGATGGCAGGTGCAAAAGCAATGCTGAAATTTCCATTGTGTTTTCATTGTTGTAGCGCAAGGCAATGCTCATTGAAGCATGCGAGTTGTGGAAATGTACAAGGGCAAGGAAGGACAATCGGTCGCCACACAGCGACTTTATGAATGGCCGCTCACTGACTTTGCAGCCTTGCAATGAAACGAGAATGCATAATGAAAATAAATTACAGAAAATAATATAAATGGCGTCATAAACTGTTGTGAAAATGTTGGCCAAAAACGAAAACGAATATAGAGATTAGAAAAATCAAAAAATAAATTACTTTGATTGCATGTAAAAACCAAAGAAGATGAAATGAAGCTTAACACATATGTATTTTTAGAGTTCAACTACAGACCTTTACAAATGGTCTAAAAATATGTATGTACTATTTATTATTATGGATGTATGTGTGTAAAAAGAGCTAGAGATCCCAAAAACCCAAAACCAATCATATCAAATGTATTTCGAAACAATACTAAGCAAAGAACAGGCAACTAATTATGTGTATATTTTTAAATGAATAAAATCAAAAAAAACATATTTATCACCCCGATTTCTTAAATAAAGGAAAAAGCCGTAAAAAACATGCTGACGCCGCCACTTCCTCCAAATGAAACGAAAAGTTGAAAAAGTGCAAAGTTTACAGAGCGCTCATAAAAATGTGCCCCATTAGGAGACTGTTGCCTACAAGACAAATTAAACGCAATTAAGAGCATATTAAAAACGAGCCGCCACATCAATAGCATTATTATTGAAGAATAAAAGCGTGAGCGACGCAGCAAAGTATGCTACAATAAATTTGGTTCGAAATCAGTCCGCCAGTCAATACAAAAATAAATGGCAGCAAAGACAATAACAATTTTGGAATGAGAAACGTGCGAGGCGCACAAACACACATACAGCGATACAAACAGATAGACAAGACAGACAAACGAATGAGGCAAATGGCGGACCGCAGGACATTTGTTAAATTTATGCAGCATAGTGGGCGAGCTTATTGTGGCATCATTAAAACTTGATTGACTTGGTGGGCCAACAGAGCAAGGGACAAGGGACACTGTCTCTGTGAAACCATAGAAGATACTCGCATCAGCGCCGACAAAGTTTGCAGCATTTTCGTCTATTTTTATACATGCTCCGCAATCTTCCATATTTTTTTCTGTTCGGTTGTGTTCTGCGTTCCCAAATGCTCACGATAATTATTTGCGTAATTTGGCCAAGTTTTGCGGCAGCGTGAAAATTTTGTGGTAAGTACTTGTATCTTGTAGGCTTTTGTTGCTCTGATGGGCCAGAAACTTTTCCTCTCACAGCAAAGAGCGGGGCTTTGGTTTTTAAATGCCGCCCAGAGAACGTAAAACTGAATTGAAATTTATTGTTTAACTTCCTTTGGCAACATTCGATCCCCTCGCTAGCCCTTGGCTGTGTTTCTCCCCGTTCCGGGCCTGTTGCCCTTTATTATTATGTTGTTGTCAGGGACAAAGTCAACAGCCGGAAAAATCCAAATCATCTCCGCTCCATTCTTATATTGTAAACATATTTGTTCCGCCCAACTGGACGAACTCTACTTTTTTTGTTAGCAGGTCTCCTTTTATAAGTAAATATTATTCATAATATTTAACGACCGCAGCACATTCCAACGAGGAGCTGAGGATTAAATGAAACTTTTGTGCCAGACTTTGGCGCTCAACAATGGTCTGACATTCATTTGACGCACTTCATTTTCCCGATTGCATAGCAGCTTCAACTAACGCGAACGGACAACTAACTTGAGTGCGAAGGTACAAAGGGAAGTGCCAGAACGAATTCTGTATTTGATTGATGCGAGAACTGGCTGCGAAGTCAGTTGTTTCGTTAGCTCTTGGCAAGGTGTCATGCAAAAAATGTAACGCATGAAACGACTCTATCTCTCTGCCCTTCACTCACACACCCCACCCAACACTCCCCCATATCCAGCACCCCCTGCTACACTGACCAGAGTGTTGTTGCCGACAGCTTATTTGACATTTTGATAGATTCGGGCTCATAAAACTTACTTTTGTGTCGCCACGCAAGCAAGCCAGTTGTTGTCAGTTGATGGCTTGACCAGCTGCCAGCTCTGTGGCCATTAAATTTTGATTTGATTTTATTGCGATGCGCACATATTTTATGCCGCATCATGCAATATATACCCGCTGTTGGCCAGCCATTAGCATATGACCAAAGAGCGTGCCGGAAAGCCGAACCGAAAACCACAGACCGACTGCCAAATGTTTGTGTGGCTCCATATTAAAAGTAGCTTTCAAAAGGCCATTTAAGCAAATTTACATAAACCATTAAGTGTCGTCTTTTGTGCTCCCAAAAAAGAATTACATAACATAAAAAACAAGCAACGAAATTGTGGGCGAGCAGATGCCGGCTCATTTTATTTGCCAACGCCATGACCACCAGTTTAGTTGGGTTTGGTTTGTTCCCGTTTGGTGGGGGTGTACGTTAGGGCTTGGAGGGGCTGCGCACGACATTGGAGGAATTTACATTTTTCCGGAACATGGCGCACAAATTTCCTGCGCCAGCTGTATGATTCCAATTTGCCCGCCATCCAATTTTGATTAGTCTTGGCAAATCCTTTGCCGTTGCACTAACACCCCTTCCACCTCAAGTGGCAGCCCAAAAGTAGACACCAACAGCTGCAGAATGCAGAGCCTGGCGCCCAACTCGCTCATTCAGCTTGTTTGCAATTTATGAAACATTTGCAATAAAGTTTCGTCTCCGTCGACATGACAACCTTAACTGGCATGCCTTGCTCGACTTAATCAAATTAGTACATTATTAAAATTCAGCAGGTAAGTGCATGGTGCTGCAACATAAATACAATTAACTGACGAATCTTTCATCATTCTTCAGTTCAGTATACAAGTACATACATATTTTACAAAGGCAAGACTACATTAAGTCTCAAAGGGAATACATGAAACGGCATGTACAAGTATGAGGTGGTAATGATATTAAAAAGATTCGGTGATGGCCAATAAAACACACGCTTGATCCAAAGATATATTTAATTTATAATAACTGCTATCACAAACTACTTGTATTACCAACACTTTTCGGGATTCCTCATAATTAGAACCAAACTATTTAACTATATTGGTGTGCCATTTCTGACGGTAAAGAAGTTTTTGCAAATATTCTGTTATCCATCTGCTATCTTAAATCTGAAATCTGTTAATATATTACTGCTCTTAGTAGGCTTGACATTTCTGTGCAGTTCTCAATTATAAATTAGTTTAAAGTCAATGGTTTATCGTCCTCGTATGAAAGTGGCAGTTCTCCGAGTGGGCGAGATTTCCAGTGTGCGAAGGTACATCTGAGTAGATCATGATTCGAATGAGATGTTCCTATAAGATACTTGGTGTGAGGTTTTGTCTACAAACAGATGGCTCTCAGGGGCTTACTTTTCGCCACAAGTCAAATTTTTGCCTTTTTCACCTCCATCACATCGAATTTCTCTGCGGTTAATACAGTTCCGCAGACAAATTGCTTAAAAGCAATGGAAAAGTTCGAGTAAAAGCAAAAAGAAAGTGCATGTGAAATTATTTGTGATTAATAACAATTAATAAAAATTATATTTAAATAAAAAAGTCGTCTTCTCTCAATAGTGGCTTGGTGCACTTTTATTGCAGCAACAAATTCCATGAACTTATAAGAATTAATAAGAAACCTTCAAAAGTTTTCTACTTTTTGGAGATACCTCGGCTAATGCCCGCACTTCACTTCCAAATTGCGGTTCTGTTTATCGTATTGCAATTCAAGCAGCACGCTATTCTTTGATAATTATTTTTCATCATTTATAAATATTTTCTTCGTATTTATGACAAATGTCATAAGCCTTACGTCCTTGAGTCTGAAAGCGTTTTCTTACTTCCATATGTGTATCCAAACGTATGTTCTATGCTTGACGTAGCATAACATCAAATGCTCTTTGATAATATTTAAAATATTTATAATGAAATTAATATTAACAATTATATTTGCGTCTACGCTCAATACACTGAGCTCGATGTTCATTGAATTATGAAGGCGCATAGGGTGGGCTACACACACACACACGCACATCCACTAGCTAATTAGCTAAGCTGAAGTCGCAAAACCACAAGACGCCCGCATCTGTAAACACAAAAGCCGCAGACAGAGCTATGCAAGGCGTAAAAAGTCCAAAGTAATGCTAAGAATTTGAAGGAACAACACAAAAAGAGCCAGGCGCGTGTCTGCGATATTTTGGGGCACCCGCCTGTATACAGAACAAGAGTGAACGCTACAGTCGAGCAAGCGTGACAGTGAATTACTCTGTACCCAGGTAAACTTCCGGCACTGAGGTATATGCGCCTCTAGCAGAAGCAAAAGGAAGAAAAAGAGCGAACTTGATGCTGCAGTTTGGGGGGGTTGTACTGTCGAGAATTTGTTTCGCTAATAACTTTTCTTAGAATTGACAAGATTGAAATTTCAAACAGCAGTAGATAATTATATAGAAATTATGTGTGCAAAGTTTGGTTAAGGTAGCTTTTGAAATGTGGACGGTATTGACGAAATTCTGTAGCGGGGAAGGGGGGAAAATTCCAAAAAAGAAAATAAACTCGTCCTTTCTCGGACCTAGGACAATCTGGATGCCAACTTTGGTTATTCTAGCTTTTATCGTTTCTGAGATCCTTGCGTTCATCCAGACGGACAGACGGACGGACAGACGGACGGACATGTCTAGATCGATTTCTCCCGTCATGCTGCTTGAGAATATATATACTTTATGGGGTCGGAGATGCTTCCTTCTGCATGTTACATACTTTGCACAAACCTAATATACCCTTTTTACCCTACGGGTACAGGGTATAAAAACCTAAACCGTCAAAGCAAAGTTCTGCAATACAATTTGCATGTCGCTATTTCTAAAAACACTTTTGTTTGTCCATAAGCAACGGCACATATGCCGCGTTGTTCAGAAATGTTAATTAAAAAGTGCTGACGTTCGCGCTAACCGCGCGTTAGAGGCGTTCGTTATTGATGTTGTTGCTCCTCACCTGCTCCTCTCACCGCTTATTACATAAATGATAATAGTAATTGTCAGCACAATTATTATATATGTATACTCGTATACCTGACACTTCGAGTTAATTATGATTGTGAAGCCTTCAGTTGCATTCTCTCCACTTTGATGACGGTACAGCAGCCTAACAAAGCAGCAGCTATTTTGTCCTTGCTGAGCTGAAGCTGCCACTGCTGCTGCTGCCATTGTCAGGACCAAAGGCAAATCTAGTTAAAGCTTAATTTAAATTCTCACTGCTGTGCGCCAGTGCCAGACAGTGCCATCACAGCCGCTGTGGCACTCACGTCGCTAATACCCCGAGCATGTGTTGGTTTGAAGGTTTTATGTCAGTAAGCCCTAGATACGTTGAAAATCAGGCTGAGTTAGCATTTTAACAGCGCTAACCAGCCCGACGATAAACTGATGAAGCAAAACTCCCCGCCCAACGTTTTGCCTCAACTGCCACTTCATGGGCTTTGGCATTATGGCTCGGAGCTGCGCAATTTTTAAATAGCAACAATTTATTCGCTATAATAATTGTACGTGTTCTGAAAAGTGAACGTGCACAAAACTTTACTAATAGACAGCCCAGAGCAACCGTTTGAATTACTACAAGATTTAGCCCCATGAACGCACAAGTTTCCTAATGTGCTCACTGATGTGTAACGACACAATCACTTTTGCAGGTATATGTATGAATGATGTGTGTGTGTGTGTGTGTATCTGACTGTTAATTTAATACAAGTCTGCAGCCATAGCAGCATAGCAATAATAAAGCAAAGCAATATTTACACAGCAACTCGTTTTGTGACATCAGAAGTCTCCAACCCCTTGACGTATACAAGTATTTATTCTTAATTGGCATGACGACACGAGTCTATCTAGACATGTCCCTTTCGCCGTAAGTCTAGCTAAATACTTGGCAGCTATTGAAAAATCAGGTAATTACCTAGATTGTGCGAAAAAGTAAAGGTCAGCGGTGGAAAACTGTTCCATTTTTATACCCTGTACCCAAAGGGTGAAAGGCTATACTAGTTTTGTGCGCATGTATGTAACACACAGAAGGAGGCTTGGTAGACCCCACAAAGTATATATATTCTTGATCAGCATGACAAGCCGAGTCGATATAGCCATGTCCGTCTGTCTGTCCGTCTGTCTGTCCGTCTGTCTGTCCGTCTGTCTGTCCGTCTGTCTGTCCGTCTGTCTGTCCGTCTGTCTGTCCGTCTGTCTGTCCGTCTGTCTGTCTGTATGAACGTAAGGATCTCCGAATGTATAAGAGCTAGAATAACCAAACTTGGTATACAGATTCTCCTGAGTCCGAGAAAGGACGAGTTTGTTCATTTTTTCTGAATCCACCCCCCCCCCCCCCCCCCCCCCCTATTAAGAGTTGAGCCTGCTTTAGCATTCCTTTCTTGTTCTAAGCACGAAACTTGCACTTTAACACACAAGTTATTTTCATTGTTCAATGTTTTTTAACCCTCTTCATATTTCTTTCGATTTCTCTTCTTTATTAAAAAGTTATCTAAAATTGTCTGCTACTTAAATCCAACTAATTGATATGAACTGATACTTCCTTCATTGTCTCGCAAACCAATTTTTATAAGATTCCTACCTTGAAACAGATCTAGAAGTTGCATAATCCCTACTAGCTTATTTCTAAAATGTAAATGCAGTATTTACTCGAAACCTAAGGCGCCTCAAGAGTATTCATCCCCTCAACCTCCGCCTCCAGAGTTGGTTCTGGTTTGCAAAAGTCATGCTTCCAAGTTTCAAGTTGTCATAAAATTTAAAAATTTTCCAAACAACCAAATCTCAAATAAAGACTAAAGGGATTAAAAACAAAAAGTTCAGTATTATTGCAGCGAGACTTAAATTTCAACTTAAATTTCATACTCGTATTATCTCAGAAATATTCCTTGCTTAATTTTCAAACAGGCTCCGAAATTTTAAACTTATTAAGGAAATCTCTTCTGTAACTTTAATGCCTATTCGTATCAAAAACTGCGCTCTTTATATTTAAAAACACTCTTGTAATCCGTCCACAATTTCCATGTGCTTTTAAAAAACTTAAATGTTTCACAAACTTTGATATCTGCTAATGACGGCACGTTTTCATCCAAAAGGCTATCCTAGCTGCCGAAATTAACATAGTTTTTAGTTTGCTTTATACAAGTATGTTGACTCCATTTAACGTTTAATGTTGCGCACTAAATTTATGGCATTTGCTTTAAATGTTTATGCAGCTGTTGTCCCCAGCTGGCAATATTTTGTTATGGTTATTTCATGGCTTTACGGTCCCTTACCTGCCCATCAACTTAAATTAGTCAAATTAAACTTTACCTTTTTTTCATTACATAGCTTTTATTAAATCCTGTTTGTACAAGTCTACACGAGTATATGTATGTGTATATGTGTTTATAAGTGCTTCGTACATTTTTAATCTTGTATCAATTTCCGCCGCACAATTTGAAATTTTAATTAGTACGCACAGAGTTGAGCACTTGGGTGATGTGCTTTTAAAAAATGCAATGCAATTAAAACGTTTAATATTCCGCTTGAAAACAAAACAAAATTACACGCTAAAATTGCAATTGGATAATCAATTTACTGGTCGAAATTTTTGTAAACATACTTTAATTAATAATAAATAAGTTAAATAAAAATTCTACATTATTTGCCTAAAATCTAAGATTGTATCTGTTTATACCCTTTCCTATGCCGTACTATACAAACTGGATATTATAAGCCCTACTCTGCACAGCTTTATGCGAAATATTAAATATTCCAGTAATTTGTAATTATTTTCCATTTGTTTATGCAAGGAACGTAATCTCATATGCCATTAACCAAGCGCGCAAAATGTTTTTGATATTATAACAATAATAATTTGTTTTCAGTATACACTTGAATAACAACAACAAAAACCGTAACTGGCAACAAAGCATGGACAAATATTAAATTGTCTGCTATAACTTCTTTTAGAGTTGTGCTTGGGTAGGCAAGTCGTACTTCGTTATTACTTGTTATAAACATCTGCAGAAGAGGAGAACGCGACTAAAAATCTGTGTGATTCTTGCTGCATATACTTGTATTCAAATAAATATTCAAATTGATGAACACCATGTTATGTTTTTGTATCAGAGAAGTATTTAACCACCTGCTTGATTGATGTGAATATGTGATTGATGTGCTTAATATTTCCTGATTATTTTTTTCTCAGCATAGCATGACTTTTTATATGGCCTATAAAAAAATTTATACAATCAATGATTTTGATATTTCAATCTAGAGTTTATTAATAGTGGCCTTAGTGCCTTTGAATCCATATCGTTTTCTCTAACAGGGCATGAAAATAGATTGCGCGTGTAATACTATTGAAATTTCGCAGCATTTCCATTCTATCATATCTTCCAAAAGGTAACTTAACCGTCTCAGCTTTTTTACGACACCATTCATTCCAATTTAGTCACATTCTTTTCGAATTCACAAAATATTAAATGTCATAGTCTAAGCAGCCTGGCTCCTATTTTGTCGTTTCTAAATATTCAAAATCTTCGAATTCTCTACTTGTTCTAATAATTACGGATACTTTTATCCTCTCTAATTTATGTAAAATATTTTTAGTAGTTCCCTTTGTCAATTGTTACTGAAGCTTTTTAATTTGTCCAACGATTGTGCAGCCTTCCCACTATACAAGAAGGGTTTTATGCCAGAATTATTAACAACAATTATAATTCATTTTAAAATCAAAATACCTGAGTGTATGCTCTTCACAAAAGCTGACTGTACATTTTTTAGATGAAGATGTAAAGTTCGCGTCAACCAAATGGCGGTACAAATTTCATACAAGTATATTTGTATATAATTTCTCATCGTATCACAGACATGTCTGTTTTAATATTCACAAATATCATCAATAGTTGGCTGGCGTATCGAAGAGTATTGCATTACACGCTAACTTAGACTGGTAATCATCTGTTTAAACAAATGGCGCATCTGCCAACAACAAGCTCAAGGCGCCCACATAACTGTTTACCCGTTAGCTTCAGCACTCATGTGCGATATAAAAGCAGCTTTACTTGCATTTCCTCCACACAATTGATAACCGTAAGCGGCTAGTCAAGTCAACATGGCCAATTATTTGACATTTGTGCTGCTCTTCCTTGTGCTTCGGCTCGAGCTGGTAAGCGTACTAATTGAAATGTTCAGAGCTTAAGTGAGAATATGTATTTTAATTATTTACACAGCAAACGGTCAGTGGCTATTCAGCTGAAATTTATGACTATAAGGCTCCTTCGCAATACAGAAGCTATATGAAGACTCCGGATGCTGTAAAGAAGTACCGCAATCTAATGATGCCCAGTCGTCTGAAGGAGCTTACTCCGGTGCGTTATTGTGTCTTTGCGTCTGCCTTATTGAGAATAATAAATTTACATTCCTCTGCAGAAACAACGTGAACTCATATCGGACAATTGCAGGCCGGTCGGCATGCCATGTAATTTTCGCGAGGAGTGCTGCAGTTATTTGTGCTTGAAACGCAGTAGAATCTGCGTCGTCTGATAATAGATCGCATCATCAAATAAATATACTACATTTTCAATTAATACCGAGTTGATCTTTCAATCTCTGGGTAGTAAAATAATAAGAATAATAATTCCAATTTGTTGATATAACAGCAAAGTTGGTTTGTATGGGGGAGTGTGGTGGTAATAGCTACGTCCCAGAACCACAACATTTGCTGCTTACAAGTGGTTTGCTAGTGTTAGTTTTTATAGGTGATTCAATAAATAAACAATATTCAGTCCAGCTTTCATTGCAGTGCAGCAATTTCTATAAAAAGCCGCATTGCTATGATTGGAAGTCATTTAAGAACTGACAGAGTCCAAAGACACATCAAGACATGAAAAGCCGCTGCAGTTTTAAAATCTATTGCTTAACGCTGATCGTTGTTTTTCTGCTGATTGCTCAAGAAGTGGTGAGAAACTGGTGTTTACAGTAAAGCCAAAAACAAAGACTTGTTAACTAATACACATTACTTTATATGCCATTCAGCAACTGGTCAGTAGTCAGGATCGCACGCTTATTGATTCGATTTTGCGGGATAAGAAGAAATCCCGTAACCTGATGCCCAGCCGCCGCAAGCAGCTCTCCCATGTGTGTTAATAACGCTACGTAATTTGCTTTTCATCCGACTAATTTCCCTTTTCCAATCCCATGTCCGCCTCCAGAGACAAATGACCGAATTGAGCGACAAATGCAAGGCTTATGGCCAGCCGTGTACATTTCTGGAAGAATGCTGCAGCTCTGTCTGTTTTAAACAAACTAAAACGTGCTTCATCTAACAGAGGATGATCATAGAAATACATAAACAATTTATTTACTTCAAAAATATATAAATGTTAAAAAAGAAAACTGCTAACAAAATAAGCACGATTTATTTTAGCATTTAATTGAATGGTCCGATTTGTAAATCGGAAGGTATTGAAACATACCGACGATTGATTTGTTAATTCTAGGAAAGACGTTTCCATTTGGAACTTACATTTTTGAATTTGTCATTCAATTTTGTTGTAATATGATTCAGTCGGGACTTTTTATATTATTTAACGGCATGGCCAGAGAAGGCCCCAAAGTCAAGTTGAAAGTGGGTCCCTGTGGCTTTACCGCACCACTCTAATTCTAATTCTCAGATGAACCTTTCTTAGAATGTTACCACTTTCCTTTATAATTAGCTGTAAATTGTAAGCTAAAATTTATAAGTACATTTGAAAGGTTTTAAAAAGTTTCGTAACAATATTTTTTTTGAAATAATACTCCTATAATCGACACAACATTACTTTCCCTTACTTTCGCCCCTAAATTTTTTACTATATAACGGCAAGAGGTCTATCGGATAGTAGAAAAAACGCTTGCGACGTTAATATATACATAGGAAATTATAATTATACTGTATTTGTGTATGTATTTTAATAGCAGTGGTGCTTTCGTCACTATATGAACTGGAAGTGATATTTCTTCAAATGACCAAACTCAGTTCGACCTACGAATAGTTATCAGGGAAGTAATTTTAATCAAGTAATTTTAATGTGAGTTCATTTTGCTTTGCTGAAATCTAAAGAAATCGGCGACAATTTCAAATGTACTTCGCCCATACTTGTGGCACTATTTTTAGCCTCAGTATTTTGTCATATCGGATGACGTTCATCAAATGGGGCTGAGACGACATGCAAAAAGCATTGACAAATATCAATTTAAAACACTCAACGACGACGGCTGCGCTACCAAAGTTTGGCTCAGACAGATATGATAGGTTGTGGGCACAATATTCTCGATACCTGCAGCTTGACGACAGATGCCTGGTGCTTGATGCCTGACGCTGACTGATGCTGATTGATGACAGAAAGCCAACAACAGCAGCACCAGCAGCAGCTAAAAGTGAATTTATCTGATGACATGCAATTGAATTTGAGTATGTTTGTGAGTGTGTTTGTTTGTGTGTTGATTGATGTGCATGCAATGGAGTAACTGGTGGATACAATTTAAAGCATACTTTTAGGCTGGTGCGTTAAAAGCCAAAAGCTGACCATGCCAGGAACCACAAACCCGTATTTCCACATTCGCCGATTTGTGAATTCAAGCCCACAGCCGAATCGCTATTCGCATGTTTAAATTTCGTCCGGCTTGCCGAATATGGCTTAAATTCAAATTAGGCTCCATTGCCATTGCTATAATTCAAGAGAAAATGCTTGGAAGATTTTCATTTACTTTGCTTTCTGCAGCTCCAAGTGTACACAACTAGGGAAAAATGTTATATATTTGTGCGACTGTATTTGTTCCGGCCAGCAGGCAGCAACAAAGCAAAAGCAAAGCAGAAAAAAAATGTATACGACAATACGACAACAAGCTGAAAATTTTCAATTTACTTTCAAGCACACTCTTTCATCACAAAACACACATCCAGACAAAGACGGACGGAGGTTGGAGGAAGGGACAGAGCCCTACAGAAAAGTACAGTTAGAGCCCGTAGTGCTACGGTAGCTTTCACATTACATTTAAATTTCTTGCCGCACTTGCCTTATATTTTATTCAAATGCCTTGCCCAGATAACTTGAGCTGCTTAGCAGCCCGACATTTTCACTTTGCCGCCGTAAAATTGCAAAAAAACACCAAAAAAAAAAAAAAACTGCCATTACGCACCCCACACACCCAGCCCGCGGGGCCGGTAACTGGCATTGCCTAAACGCGCTTTGATATTACGATTTGGCTTCCTATTACGCCGCCATTGTAGGTCAAAAATGTGCATCAAAAGATCTGCGAACCGGCGTCTATTTTAATTTTTAGCACATTTTTCGGCTTCTTTTGTTACCATTGGGTCTCAGCACAAAGGTCGCACGCAGGTGTTAAGTCTGGGCGAGTTTAGCCAAATGATGGCGGCTCGAGTTGAGCTCTTGGCTTTGGGCACCTAATAAGCAGCATTAAAGTAAATCTTGCAGCCCCTCGTGCCAATCGACAAACACAAGTTTTAAGTGCATTTAAAGTCTACACACACATACCAAACAAAGTTTTCCCTCGACCATAACCAGAGCCATGTCCTTTAATTGAGTTACAAAACACAAGGCATACAAATTTTGTTACGCATACGACCCGTTTACACAAGCCACCAACAAAAAAAGTGGAGGCAGTGTCTGGCAGGCAAAGTTTACTGCAAACGTCATTAGTTTTAATAACATTTTCACTCGCAAACAGCCACACACCCTTGATTGTCGTTGTTGCGGTTTTGTTTGTCAGCGTGAATTAAAGCAGCCATACCACATTTTACGAGCGTCCCATTCCACATTCTTAATTCCATTGAATGGAAGTGACATTCGCTTTTCTGTGCTTTAATGCGTCCGCTCTTTGACATTCATGACGTTCATGTTTGGCGTTTGGCATAGTTTCAATCAGGAATGATTGATGCACAATTAGGCTGCCAATCGCAGCCACTGGAGGAGTGTGATTCAAGTCGTTTGCACAATTAGCAAGAAAGCGTTAAATTGCGCAAAAGAAGCCATCAAAATAAATAAATAAATTATGAAAATATATAATAAGTAAGAAGAACAGCAACTAATACCCACTGGAAACGTGTTAATTGCGCTTATTTAGCAATATTTTGTACACTCTTTGCACTTTCTAAATATTCATTAATACCGCGGTAGTGGCATTTTTTTTTTTTTGAAATTTTGTGCTAATTTTGTTTTTTCGCTAAACTCCATTTTGTGCCTTCTCACTTACCATTGGCTTTTGCTTTTCTAATGTTCAGTTTCTACACCCTACTTGTTTATTTGTTTGCCTTTTAATTAACAACAGCCTGTTACATGCGCAAAGTAGACTTAAAGTTTAAATTTTAAATAAAGTTAGGTCGCCATATCTTCCATAGCGCCCGAATGCTGCGTAAGGTTTTCATTTTTCAGTCTTTTATTTTTGTGCAAAAAAGTGTTTATTTTGTTGGGGGGCGAGTGTTAATTTCACTGGAATTTATTTTGGTTTTAATTTTACAACATTTACAAGTGCCGCTGTCGACACGACCGCAGCTGACAGTTTGTGGAAAAACTTTGCCAGCTACCGACTGGCCACACCCACTAGCTCACTAGCAATGTCTGAACAATATACAAAATTTGCTATAATTCGATTTTTTTCTCATCGTGTTTCAAAATTTAATTGAATCAAAATTCTGTAAACAAACCTTTTATACTTGTACATACATTCTATATGTATATACTTGTAGCATTATTTTATACTATACTGTCTCTGGGCTCTGACAATTATTTCAATGTTTGGTGTAAAATCTTAATAATTTGCTGTGCATGACAGACTTTTGGCCTGCACTTTTAATTAAAAGTATGCAACGCTTCAAAAAACCACAAATTGGTTTAAGTTTGTTTGGCTGAACTAGTTAGTCGGTGTCAAGTCCAGATACTGAATGGTATTTTCTATTATACTATATTTCTGCTAGAAAAAGAAGTTCTCCCTTTCATTGGCAGCTAAATTGTTGTACGATAACTTCACGTCAGCAATTAGTACATGAGTACTACATATCTACATACTTGTATTTGCGTCATCAAACAATGTGTAAGTAGCATCAAAATATGAATTTCTTAGTTAGAACTAGTTTCCATACGAATCCTATTAATTCTTAATATTGAAACCGATACAAATTTTCTTTTATAGATAAAAAAAATAACAAGAATGTAAAGCGATTTCAAAATAGTATTTGACTTTCTTGCAAATTAATAATTTCATTAGAAATTAATTAACAATTCAATTTTCTTTAATATTTTTATTAACAATCATAATTTGGACTACGCACATTCTATGCTCATACTTTATTAAATAGCATCAAATTAATTTACATACTCGTACATACTTATTTAACAACTCGCTAGTTGGACATTAATAATGTTCATTTAATAATTGCAATACACATAAACATACAGTATTTCTTGCCCATTTGAGAGCCTCTCTTAGTCTATTTTAATAACTACAAGTACAACGGAAATAATATTTTTATAGCATTTTCAGTACTTCAGTTAACTTGAAAGCAGCCATCGAGGAAATGTGCAAAATGCAGAATGCATGCGAAAGTAGGTCGCGCTACATTTGATTCGATTTTCAGATGCAGGTGAAAGGCTCTGTTTCCCAAGGACAATCGCCGACAAGTGCAGAGAAAAAACCTTTAAGTGTTCAAGGTCGTTCAGGTGCTTCGATCGTAAGTCTGTTCATACTATACTAAGTATAAACACACTTTTAAAGATTTCTGCGTTGCACACATACAAGTATTTGAATAATAAAATTAAAGAGGGGCAGGCTCTCTACTAAAAAGCCAGAGTCGTACCGTTTAGCGTAAATTGCACAAAATCGTAGCACACTCATGCGTATGGACTGCAGACACAGTAAACCAATAAACGAAAGCTATCGGTTAAGTGGGGGACAAACAGAGCTGGGGAGGAAAGACACAGACTTGACAGCTGCAATAAAACTCAACAACACGAATTTCTCAGATAAAGTAGCTTAGGGATTAACATAAGCGCCCCAAAGATGGTGATGTTGCTGCTGTTGCTGATGCTGATGCTGCTGCTGCTGCTGTTGGTGATGATGGCCCTGGTGATGTTGCTGCGACTGTTGCAGCTGCAATGTCTGATGTGGATGCGGTGAATGGGGCATAAAGTGTGTGGGGTAGGGCGACTGATAGGCGTGTGTCAGGTGATCGTAATAGCCACCAGTTGTTGTTGTTGCTCCCGCCGCTGCTGCTACTGCTGATGCTGCTTTCGTCGATGGCGAGCCACTCATAATTAGACACTCAACTGGCTGCAGCTCCACCTGCTTGCCGTTGCTGCCGTTGTTGTTGTTGTTGTTGCTGCTGTACAGCGCTGCCGGCGATGAAGCACTGGAGCAGGTCGAGAGCGAGGCAGATGAAGTGAGCGGTGGCGAGGACTGAGCAGCTATCGCCAAAGGCTGAGGAGGCGGCACATGCGTCATGGGCAGCATATGATCCATAAGATACTGGTCGATTTCCTTGGGATCAATGTCGCAACCATTTGTTGTGGAAGCCGTCACTGGCGCTGCTGACGTTGCCGCCGTCACTGCTGTCGATGCCGCTGCTGCCGCCATCTTCGAGGGGTTGGTCAAATAATTTAGCGCTCCAGTGGTGTGTGTCGCACCGCCAGCGGTATCTGTGAAGATGCCGCCGCCATTATTGTTATTGTTGCTGTTGCTGCTGCTGCTGTTGTTATAGTAGCTGTTGTTGTTGTTGCTGTAGTGCGCATGCGTTGCATTGCCAGTCTCATAGCCATAGCCACCATTCATGTTCTCCAGAAAGTCCATATCCTGTCCATTCGACTGGCTGTTGTAGTTCAGTTCGCCGAGCGCTATGTACTCCCGTCCAGACTCTAAGAGCACACCATAATCCGCTCCAGAAACACTGCTGGGCTCACTTAGCTGCCGCAGCAATAAACTGGAGCACGCTGCTCCAGCTGAACCAGCGCCCAGCAATGATGGCTGCTTGCCCCCCACATTGTAGGGCGTGGCCGGTGGCGTCAATGGCTGTCCATCGCTGCCGCAGAGCGCACTCGAGTGCAACGAACTGGCCGTGGAGCAGGGCGAGTCCAATATAGCGCTCTCCGCCTCGCCACTGAGTAGGCTCTGTTCCAGCAAGCTGGCCGCGCATGCACTGTTGAGGGACTTCATGAAGGCCTCATTGCTGAAGACATCGCTGCCTGACGACGGACGGACTGGGCAGGGCGGACTACCGACGGTTCTGTTGTTGTTGTTGCTTTTTCCGGCCCTTTTCTGAGCGGCGTTTCCCAAAGCGGCGCCACGTCTTTGCGCATGCCCCGAAGACGCTGTGTTTGTTGGTGTTGTTGTTGCTGGCACTTCTCCATCTGTGGTTGCTGCAGTCGCGTTTGTTGCTTGCAACGCTCGCGCCTTCTTGCGTCGTGGCTGGTATTTGTAGTCGGGATGTTCCTGTTTGTGCGTCATGCGCAACTTCTCGGCAAATTCCATGAACGGCTTCTTATCGCTATCCTTCAGATTTCTACGAATAAAACACAAAGTAAAGAGCAGCATGAGAATCATGTGGATGTAGTAGTTGTTTAATTTATGTCCATTATTTATTGACTGACAATTTGTCGAGTTGTGCGTCCACTCAAAAAAAAAAAAAAAAAAAAAAAAAGAAAAACTCCGCTTAATTAACGCAACGCATCCGTTGTCGTCGTCGACATTTCGCTTATCAGTTCCGAGACTTAGGACGCTCCCGCTTATCTCAAATGTCTCAGCTGGCGCTGAACTGTGAAATTTTAATTTCAGATGCGCAACAATTTATTACAAAAGGCAAAAGAAATCCAAAAATAAATAAGTCAACAAATAATTGGTTGGGTTTTGATTAAATGATACATGGTTTATGGCAAATATTCAAGCTACATGTTTTTTTTTAAAAAACATTTTGTTATTTTTGTATTTAAAGCTATTTTTAGAAGACTATTCATTTCTCTTCATTCGTAGTAGTGTGGCTCATAATTAAACTGATTATTTCTATATGAAATACTTGTATATAATGAATCTGAGTTAGATTCTAGCTGAAAAAGGAATAAGTAGTTGTAGTTCAGATATTCGGGCACTTCCAAAAGGTCTTACTAAGCATAAAATATTGAGACTTAAAAAACAAACAAATCTTAGCTACATAAACCATTTTATGTTTGTTACACGGGCAGTTAAATGAACAGCATGCGAGAATCCTGCTACCGGAACTTCAAAACTATTGAGACATTCAACTACTGTCGACTCTCCTTAATTCAAATCTGCGATAATTCGAACATCTCTATAATTTAAAGTTATCACGAGTTCCCCACAAAATCTCTTTATATTTCGAACTACAAGTAAATCAATACATTTTCGTGAACTTGGTAATTCGTACTAAAAAATCATTGCTATATAACAAAACGACGCGTTAATTCGACAATTCAAAGTTGCATAGAGAAAGAGGCGGAAGGATTGTGTGTAAGTACATTTTGCGACAAGTTCAAACTTGTCTCAACGTACAGGTGCTAGCCCCGCCCGTCGCGCCGCACTTCACCGCTCAAGATCCGTCCCGGTAATTGTTTTAATTAGTAATTAGTTTGGCTAATTGACACACACTTCACACGAATTGGTTTGTTTAGTTATCATTCAGTTACTGTTACTCTGTTGACATTGTTATAGAATGGCAGTTAATAAATAATAATTGATCAACACTTAATAATTCGAAGTTTATTTATTTTCTCACACAAATTTCGAACCATTTGATATTTGAACGAATCGATAATTCGTAATATTTTAAGAGTCCCTCGAGTTTTGAATTAACAAGAGTCGACAGTATAAAAATGGTAATATCCACTCCGTAGCATTTAATGGCATCTACATCGGGCCAATATGAACAACAAAAAATTTGTTGAAATGCAATTTCTGCGGTGCTACTTAGAATGTTACTTCAGTTTCTGTGGCACAGCTTTTAGCTTTATGTTGCTTAAAAATAACTCTAAAATGGTTTTCCAACTTCAGCGGCATGGCAACAAGTGCAATTGAAAATGCAAATGGCAAGCTCGGAATAACTGCGGCACGCATAACAATTTATTTAGCCTGGCTGCCTGGAAAAAGTTTCAGGAGCAGTACAACAACTAAATTCTACTTTCCCTCATACTTGTATTTCAACTCATACTTACTTCCACAGCTTGCCCAGAGATTTGCTCAGCTCGGAGTTTTGCAGATGCGGGTATTGCTTGGACATGACTCGACGTGCCGCCTGGGCCCACACCATAAACGCATTCATGGGTCGTTTGATGTGCTCCTTCTTGCGATCGGATGGTGCTCTGTAAGTGTGTGCGGGAAAATGGAGAAATTAATTAATTTGGAATGCGTTTGGATGCTCAACTGTTTTGGCTCAGCTTTTTCATCTTCTGCATGTTGGCCAAGAAATATTCGGAGGTAATTGCACGAAGTTGCCAATGTCTTGCCATTGTTTCTAGGCGAAATTGCATTTTGCTTTTGGTTTTTGTCAACACGCACAACAACAACAAAACCAGGAATGGCCCCAAAACAATCTTCCAACTGTAACGTGCAATTAAAACTTTTTCACAAGCCCACAGCGAACAAACTGCAAAGCGACACAAGTTCAAATGGTTTCGGCGCAGTAGCAACATCAGAGGAAGCCTCAACCACAGCAACAATACAAGTAGGAGCCACAATAAGAGCAACAATCCAAAAGTGCAGATTGCCCAGACAGCGGCATTATACTGGATTTAGTTGTACTCTATTGCATGAACGAGACATACTAAATACTTGAATTATACTTGTATATTTTAATTATTATGCAGCTGCATTTTATGGCTTAAGTCGCCACCCAAAATAAATCCTTTTGTATTTCAGGCAATATCTGAGCAAATAACATATTGTATACTATATAGTATACACATATATGAGCTAATTGAATTGAGAAAATTAGCCCCAACAAATGTACAATTTATTCAAATAAAATTGCTGAGCCGTATGATAACTAAATGGCCACAGGAGCACACGAGACAAATGCAACAACAGCAACACACAGACACTTTTTTAGCGCAAGCAAACACGCACATCTACCAGTATATACATTGTTCTTATATATTTATTCATTTTTATTTGATATGTTGAGCAACATGTCTAAGAAACACAAAAAAAAGAAGCACAACAGCAGGCGCAGGCTCAACAAGCAGCTACAAACCCAATCAATGACGCAAAATTGACACTGGACGTGCAGAGGTTGGCGATGGTGTGATGGTAGCTGTTGGCTATACTATACGTACTCGTATATAGGAGAGATTTAGCTCGAGCCGATGCCGAGATTTGTTTTCGGTGCGAGTATATTGAATTATTTATCCTAAGTAAACATGATCAGGCAACAGCTTTGTTAGCTGAGGTGTTCAAGCGTCTTTGAATTTGCTGATGTGGTTACACACACACACACACCCACACACCCACACATTCACACCACTACACACATGCGCTCATAAGTGTAGGTGCAGGTATAGCTGCAGGTATAATACAACTCATTTGACACAAAATAAAAGCAACATGTTACCCACTCCGAATAAAATATGTTGATTACAGTCAATATTGCCTGTGAATAATGGAATTGAAAATGCAAATGATTTCTGCCAACAAATTGGATACGTGTCTGAAGATACGAGTATGTCCTTGTCAACATCAGTTGAGAAATTGAGAAAAACCAAATAGACCAATAATAATAATAAAGAGAAAGACAATTCTCAGGTACCCGTAGGGGCTTTTAACTGCCAGCCAAATAATACAAACGGATTGATGATCGTAAACAAAAAAATAAACTGATTATTATTGATTTCCATTTGTAAAAATGAGCGCTTCCCTTCTCGTATTGCTTGCCAAAAACAAAACTGAAGTACGAAGCTAAAGTTCTAGCTCCAATGAGGGGAAATCATATTCAACTACTGGTAAATTAAACTGCCAAAATAGCAAGTAGGAAACCAGTTTAATAAAATTTGTTTAAAAAAAAGTGGGAAAATCTGAATTTTTAATCCGATTACCTTAAAACTTGATTTTCGCACTCAAAATAAACTGCATGTTTCGCTTTTTGATATTTTTTGGAGGCTTATTAATATTCTGCTAAGCTTTAAGCCATTTCACATTTTTATTTACCTTTTTTTTATTATACTGAAATATTTCTTCGAACGGACAGCTTTTATTCAAACTTGCGGTCAGTGGTAGATTTTATTAAATTGAATGTTTCTTTGAGTACCAAAATAAATGGAATTTCCTTTTGACCTACAACGCTACAACAAGTATAAATCTAATTATCTTTGTACACGGTCTTTTTTACACAATTTTGATATAACACGTTTTGAAAATTAAGAATTTCATATATATTTGTTTAGAGATAAGGAACCATTCCCGTATTTTTGCATATGATCAATGTCTTTTTTTACACGATTGTTTCTGGAACCAATCTACCGTGTAAAAACAGAATTAGGTATAGTATATAATGTATAGTATAGTATATATATATATATATTTATACTAACCACCTCCTCCAATAATTTTAGTTGGGCACTGCCCATTTATTTATTAATAATTAAGTTGTTTCTATGAAAATTCTTCGAAAAAAACACCGCAACTGTCATGGCTACAGGTCTGCAACAAATAAATACCTAATAGCTTTTAAACCAAGCTTTATACAAACAAATAAAATAAGAAATGCTTACAAGTATATTCCATTTCCGTTGTTTTAGCTGCCTCGAATGTTTTGGCCACAATTCATTCAATATTTTCAATTTATAGTTTAATGAAAATGTCAAATCTATAGTGCAGATACTATACAAGTACATATGTATATACATAAATGGACGCATGTTTGATTTAAATCAATAAATAATCTGGAATTCATGCACATGCTCAGCACTTGGGTGGTGTCTATATTAATTGTATGTATGTACACATATGTAGTTGTATGTACATAGTTGAATTTTTTTTGTTTTCATACTGTTGTGTAGCACCGCGGGCTATTAGTCCAGTGCCTGCGGTTAATTACAAGTGTGCGGCGCTGCCGGACTTATTAAGCGATTAAAACCGCGAGCGCAGCATCCGTGAGATGATATCGTTGGGTTCAACTCGGCTCTCAGCTCTGCTTTACTCTGGACGAGTCGAATCGAGTCGGGTCGGGTCGCCCAGGGCCCTCAACTGGCTGACGTTCTGACACTGACGGAACAACAAGTGTGCACAACTGCATACATGTGTGAGTTTGTGTGCGTGTGTGTGTGTGTGTGTGTGTGTGCGTGTGTGTGCTGCTGCTGCTCTCACGCTTGACAGCACGCTAATCAGAATCAAGTGATGTGCGTTGCCTGCCAGCCAGCAGCACCCCCTCCAGTAAAACGCTCGCCCGCGCATCACTTGGCAACTCAAGCACGTCTTCATTATTTTTATTGTTGTTGTTGTTGCTGTAGCTGTTGTTGTGGTACGACACTCTTTGCTGTTGTTGCATTTTGAGATGCGCAAATCTCATTAAGTGATATCTTCAAGTGGCCGTTAGCTGCAAGCGCTTCGCAAAATGAGAAATGGGCGAAGAATTTTGCATTTGGCTCATTTTGGAATTTTCTTACTTTGCATATAAGTATTATAATCGTACATATGCAGTGGGGATATTGTTGCTGTTACTGTTATTACAGCTATTGTTGGGGATCTGACTATGGCTCTGGCTCTGGCTCTGACTTTTGCTTTTGCTTTCGTTGTCTCTCCATTCCGTTCTCATAAGTGTTTGTTGTTGTCCATCTCTTTATCAGCCTGCATTTCGTAATGAGCCATTTGCCGCTTTTGTTATTAAAAATACACAGCACTGCGCACTAAAATGTAAATTGGAAAGCGAATGGCATGGCAGCCACAAAGATGCGAATGAGTTGCTCTTGTTGTTGCAGTCAAATATTTACACCATAAAATACGCTCAGAGTTGTAAACAAATTTTCAATTTGTAAGCGCATGTAAAGTCGCTGACAAATGCGTCTAATTAACAGCCGCCTTTTGGCTTTGGCTTTGCCTTGGTCGAGGCATCACCATCGCCATCGGCAATTTTCACAAGTTCACAAATATGAAATGTATCTAACAGATGCCAAGTGTAAACAACAACTACTACGAGTACAACAACAAGAGCGGCTGCAACACCATCGTATTTGCTGCTGCACTAGCGTGCTAAACGTAGCGACATACCCGTATACAGACATATATATACATATACTATTCGTGTACATAAGTCGCGTGTTTGCTTAGCCCGTCAGTCAGCCGTCGGTTTTCCCACGCCTCTGCCAACGATTTACGACACTTTTCTTTAAGTGTCTTCTTCTGCTCCTTCTTCTTATTTCTTTTTCTGTGCTTTGCTCATTTGATGTCATATTCAAATGCCCAGCGGATGCTCCACCCCTCCCTATTTACGAACTGTACGATTTGCGTTCCACCAGGCGGCTTCTACCTGATAAGAATGGGGAAACGAACTACTGCGTCCCCCTTTTCGATACACCCCTCCCAAGCTGTGAGCAGATAAGACACAGAAGGAGGAATATCCGGCAGGACGTAGTGGCAATATCCCTCGCATTTATATTCACAGCTATCTGGTTAATATATTTAGGGGAGCGTATAGGTTACAATGCGGATGAGAGACAATTTATTTAATATAGTTCGCTACTTGGTTACATTCCTATGATTTAGTGAACTCTTTCGTTTTGTTAACTTATTTATTTAATATATGGTAAAATTTCAAATATATTACTAGAGAAATTAATAAAAGAAACAGCAAATCGGGCCTGCTCTCATATTTATTATTAACTACTATTACTACTTTTACAAAACAAAAAGTTACTTTTCAATATAATATAGTATATTATAATACTTATATACAGCTGTTGGCAACTAATTAACAACGACTAGCAGTGAGGGATTTTTCCACTCTCATAATAACTACAATTGATCCAGCGGTACCCAATCACCCCTTACCTCTTCTTTAGCTATTCCTCTCTATAAATGTGTCGCAGGTTTATGCATAGAACCATTACTCGAAAAGTGCCGAACTATTTGTATGCCAAAATCTCGATTACCTCATCAAGAAGAACAAATAATATAGTTTGCATAAGATATAAATTATCTTGTTCCAAAAGACGCTTTTTCAAATTTGCTGTTGCTGTTGTGTGGAACGAGTTACCGCATAGCTTTAAAATAATCAGCATTGAAACGTATTTTAGAAATAGAATTCAAGCGCACTTTCAAGAAAATACCTAAAGGAAAATAAAGTAAAGAGCACAATACTAATACTAATACA